TCTGAAAGGTTCATGTGGTGGTTATCTCTGCTTTGCATTTGGTGGCTTTTAAAAGATAGGCATGGGCAGATGGTGTTGATCTGCTGTGACTTCTACATTAACACATTGAGATTGCCTCATCTCAAGGCTGTGTCTTCTTTTTAGGACCTGCTGGAAGGAGATCTCTTTTCACAAAGACTTGGAAAACAGAGACTTGGCAGTTGGTTAGGAAAGACTGGACAAGTGCAGTCAAGGCTATGTCTCACCTGATGTCACACAGAAAAAGGAACTGAGGCTAGATTCCTGACATCTTTTACCTAACATCACAAGCAGTGACTATGCTAGTAAGTAGTTTGAAAAGATGGAAATTTCTGACTCCTGGAAAAAATTGACAGCCCCCAAGAAAAGTGGTGATAGCCCTTTCTGTCTAAGCACTGCTGAGTGATTGCAGATATGCATCCTGCTTACAAAACAAGCAGCAAAAAATGGGCCCAGGGTGAGTGGTTTTGAGCTCAAGATGCAGAATATGGAAGTTCCTGGTGTAGAGGTGTGTTCTCCCCTTTTGACACGGTCCTGCAAGGACAAATTCTGTGTCCCTTGAACATTGTTTTCTGGGTGTGCAGGACTAGGGCAAATTGCATTTGTTAGTGATGAATTTGGAAGCTTGTGATGGTCATCTTGTTTCTTCCTTGACCTGTACAGCACTCCAGGGTTCACAAAGATGTCCTTGTGACAGTATGGGGACAGCTGGGAAAGCCTCCATCTCCTCTTCCACTGTGTCCTGTGCGTGCTGCCATGGATCAGGTTTGCAGGTCCTGGTGTGCTGCAGGGATGCCATATTCCCAGGGGATGCTTTAATGTGGCATCTCTCCTGACACAGCAGCACCAAAACACTTTTTGTATCCACAGTTCAGGAAAGGTTGAGGCATAAATTTTCCTTGCAAGAAGGCAGGAGACACCTCTGGTGAACAGAGGCCTCAGCCAGCCACAGTGGTGCCCACGCTACGTGTCAGCAGTGCTGGTGACATGAACCACCACACCACTCCTCCCCAAGCCAGGAATCCAGCTGGAGGGCATCTTCCGGGTGTCTGCATACTGGGCTCTGTGACTGGCACGAGGTTAAGGGATGTTTTGAGCCACTGCCTGCATGTTGGGGGAGCTTTCACCAGGGACATTTTGCTGGGGCACTGCTGACTGTTCCAGGTTTCTCATTCACTTTCGCCATATGCGCTCTGTTAGGAAGACTTCTTTGGATTCCAATACACAGTGCATTGAAGTTAACAATACAACATTTAGAGCACAGATTCCACTGTCATGTAATATTTCATCAGTTAGGGCCAGGCAAATTTCAGAATTTGGGCTACCTGAAGGGAAAAAAAGAAGCCCTGGTAGGGTTCAGTTCCTTAGTTCTGTCAACACTTTCATAGGAAAGTCAGAATTTGTACCACTGACTGTTCTGTAACTGGTTTGAACAGTTGAAGGGACAGCACTTGGTTTCCTGTCACCCACTGGGCCCTAACAACATGATGGAACCTCCCATCAGGTTCCTTTCCAACTCAATGCTGTGTTTTCCTCCAAGAGAAGCACATGGCCCAGAGGGGCAGCTGCAGGGGGAATACCCAGCCTCCACTGATAGCTCCTGCGGCCTTGGGTGGCTGCTGGGCATCAAGGTGAAAACTGACTGGCTTCAGTACGCTTCTCTGTCATATCTCCACTGTGATGTATGTAAAGTATCTTGTATGTTACAAAAGGATTTTTAAAAGTGTCTTAAGGCCTGTAAACTCCGCTGTTTGGTCTGAAGATGGCATTCTGTAAAGAGCCTGCTGTATGAATACATTCCTGTGCTTTGTCCCCTATGCTATCAACAACAAACCGTATCTGTTCTGTATGTAATAAACATGTTAACATCAGCTTGGGCAGTGTGTTGTGTTCCTATGAAGGCACTGGGATTGTTGCTCAGTCTTTAACAGGGCACTTGCAAGGATGGGAATGCAGCTCAAATGTTCCCTGTTGAGCAGTTCAGTGACAAGAAATGAAATGAGGATGGGTCACAAGGTGAGAGCAGAAGGGGCTGGTCCAGCAAGCAACAGTGCAATCTGTAGCTTGTACCAGTGGCAGAAATAAATGGTGGAAATAAAAGGTGGCACAACTTCAGAACTAGAAGCTGGAGCAGAGAAGCATTCTGCTGGCTTCCTGCAACTTTAGTCAGGGTGGCTCTTTCAGGTGAACTGCCAGGGATAACACATTGGGTCATTTTTCAATACTGTACAGATTGGCACTTCACAGTCCCATAGGCATCAGTGATAACAGCATCATTTGACCGCAGGGAGCTTGCTCCTCAGTCCCAGCAGCATTTGGACACCTTCAACAATTTTGTAGAACTGCATTGATTCAAGGGCTAGACATGGCAATGTACAAGGGAACTCTGTCCTTAAGACTGGAGAGGTGCTCCAGGATCTTCTGCCCTAAGGCAAGTCACCTCCACACCACTGTGGTGTGGCACAGGCCAGGGTGTTGTAAAACTGGCAAGGCCTCTGCAGTTAATGGAGGTACCTCAACAGCAAGATTTGGAAACATGTGCTGTGATCCATCCTAAATCCCTGGGGCTGCACCCTTTGAAACGGGCAGGAGCAGTTTGAGCAGAGCTGTGGAGGCCCAGGGGCCTATTACCAAAATGCCTCAACCCTGGGGGTGCAGAGGCAAAAGGGAAGAGATGCCTGTATAGAACAGTAAGAAAGGCCTCCCTCCCATGGGCCTTTTGCAGCCACATGTTCTTTTGGGTTCTGGTGTTCTGAGAGTGTGTGGGGATTGATGTCACCCTTGATCAGCCCCTGTTTACCATTCAGGTACCCTTCCTAGAATGTTCTTCCTTCCCTTAGCCTCCAGTGGCTCTGTTTTGCCACATTGTTCCACCCCTGTTATCCCCTTGGTTCTCCCAACCCTTATCCACTCCCCTGCACCTTTTTTCCCTTGTCCGTATTTGACCCTGACCCTCAGATCTGCCCCTTTTGCCCCTCATTTAACTCTGTGCCCTTAGCCCAATCCTTGGTCCTTGTCCCTACACCTATTCAAAGCTGTGTTCAATAAACCAGTTGTTGGATTGCAAAAAGAAGATTCCATCCCTTTGTCAGCATTTTCTATGATGTGCTCTGGGCCTCAGGAATGCTAGTCGCTCTCGGGATCTCGTTGCAGCATGCACTGTAACACAGGGTGTTACACCCATGTCTGGTGGCTAAGAAAGCATGTCACTGCCAACACCCTTCAAACAATCCCCCTGTGTTGGTAAACTATCTGTGAGGTAACATAGAAGTTTGGGAGGCCCATCAGAGCTCACAGCATGTTCTGAACATGGAATCCAACACACACCCAACAGGCTGTGCAGCTTCCCAGAAGGGACCTTCACTATCAGGGTAAGGCTCCCAGGCTGTCGGGGCTCTGTGAGAAGACACCCGTTCCCCCAGGTGTTATGACCCTGAGCTCACCAGCAGGTCCTAACTGTCCTGATCAGTGCCACCTAGACCCCCACCTTTACAGGGGCCCTTTCCTCCTATGGCCCAGGAGCCTCACTGAAGCACAACCTGGAGTCTTCAACTGTCTGTTTCCAGCCACCCCTGGATAGACTCTTTGGACCTGGGGGGCAGCATTTTGACTACATCATCTTCAGAGATTCACCCAAGCTTTTAGGTGAGTCTATACCTTATCAGCTACATCTGGTTTTGCTGCTGGCTTGCCTCCCTGGTAAGGGTGACCCATGACCCTTGACTTTTGGTCACAGGTCATTTCTTGCCTTTCTGGGGCTGCTGTGATCAGCACTTGGGTCTGTCCACTGTGGTCAGATTCTATGTGCCCCCTCAGGGAGACAACTTCTCTGCTGGTGCTACATTGAGATCCCGACTGGATTCACAATTACACCTCCCTCCCATCTCTGTTTTTCTTGGTTTGTGTTCAGTAATACCTCAGTCATGGTGAGGACAGGAAGACACCAGCTCAGCTCAGTGCCCAGCAGTGAATTATGGGAATCAGTTAAACTACCTTCCAGCCACAGCAACTGCCATGGGAAGGCTCACAGCCCTCAAACTGTGCATTTAACACTACTCCTGATTATCCCTCTCCTGTATTCTCCCATTCCTTCTGAAGCCAGAGAACTAGATCTGGCACATGCTCTTCAGTGCTCCTGCCACAACAAGGCAGGCTCAGTTCTTCCCAGACTCTGCTCCTTGTCACAGGACCAGCTTATAACTCACAAGAAAAGCTTTCCTTCATATCCCATGGCATCTTAATCCTTCAGGAGCCTCTGGTGAGGAAATGGAAATACAGGTAGCCACTGTCAATCCGTGTGCTCCTGCCTGATGACAGCCACTTCCTGCTGGCTGGGGCCACATGTTACCAGCCTCATCCAGGCCACACACACCAGGTTGAGCAGAGTTCCGTTTGTGCTCTCCCTCACTAAATCCCTTCAGGCTATTTGTGATTTCAGGATGCTGCAGTAAATGGAACACCACCTCCTGACTACCTGCAGACACAGGGACTAAAAAGTTACTTCTGCAAGGAATTGATCTATAGAGCTGAACAGCTCTTGTGCTCCCTTCAACCACATCCAGACCAGACCCTCCAACAGCCTTTGACACAGCAGCATCATTTGCAGCCACTGCATAAGATGAAATACCAGGAACTGTGCTCAGGAGCTCCATGTTTTAATGTTCATAACATGCTGCCCTGGAACAGGGATAATTTACATTTGGCTTCAAATGGTAAGAGCCCACCTCCTTTGCATCACCAGAATTAAAAAAATTCTCCTATCTCTTGACAGCCATCTTTGGGAGTAAGAGATGGATATCTTTGGAATATCTTAGTATTGAAATCATGTTCCTCACTTCTTGTTCACTGCCTTCACATTCAAGTAACCCAGAACATTCTGCTGTCTTCAGAGAACCAGATGCTGTGCCTGAGCTAATGGCTCTGCATTTGGCTGCCATGATGATTTCCAGGCATTGAAAAAAAATCATGAGTTTTCTTAGAACTGTGCTGCAAAATTAAGAAAACTTTTATTTCCATTTGCAGATACATTTTTTCACAGCTCTGTGAAATACTGTGATATTCACAGTCATTTTTGTGTGATTCACGCAGGACCCAAGTTGTGTAAAAAATTTTATGCTCCAAAGAACTGCAGCTGGTTGACTGGAGCTGTTTATTTAGAGACTATCCAAGGAATCATTTTTGCTGACTGAAACCAAAGTTACAGAAGAGGAGTCTGAGTATATCTGCAGCTTCCCTTTCAGATGAGGTGACTGTAGAGGGCTGAGGAGAAAGCTGGAAACATACTACCATAATGATCACAGAGGGACTCTCTAAGACCCCTTATGCACTGGGCTTCCAACAGGCAGCGAGAGCACATGGGATGCTCAGAACACATAACAAGTCTTTATACCAGTGTCCCTGCAGCTTTTTTCTTTGCCTGATCTTGGGGAGAGGCCAGCACCTTCTCCAGATCAATAATTGGCTCCATGATTGGTTTTCCCTCCTTCTGCCACTGTGCAAGGATCATGGCTCGGAGCAGTGGTGGGTAGGGCAGGAAATGAACAGTCTCTTCAGGCACTGGGGTGAATTTCTTGAAGGCCTCCTCCTCGTGTTTCGGCACCATACGCCAATCATGGTACATGGCTTTGTCAATCTCCCTCACTTTTTCTTCAGTTTTACCTGGGAAAAGATGATGAACACCAGTGGGGAACACCATCACAAAAATCTGACTCCAGACACATCGTTAACTCTTTGGCACCCAAAATACTACAACAGGCAAGCGTAAACAGTTTTCAAAGGGCTGGATAAATTATTCCCTGCTACACTATAGGATCTTACTTCTGTCCTTGAGAATTGAAACAGAAACAGGCTAGAAGGACTACAGGCAAGATGTTCCAGCCTTGTGGATGACACCCTCTCTTAATTTATAGTTTTGCTTTGTCTCTCTCAAGTTCCATTGCCATGGCTAAGAAACAAGAATAATTTCTCCCTACAATGATGAAAGCTTCCTGGAAAACCAAGTGTTAAAAGTTCTCAACAACTTAAAAGCCTTTGAATGAGTACTATTTCAGTAATTCCAGTAAGGGAAATTTGTATACTTAATATAAAACAGCTCTAAAAAGGAAAACTCACTCATACAACTCCAATCATTATTTTAAAATTCTAGTGAAACAACTTACTTGCCATTGCACTTTTTCCTTTTTAGTGACAATTTTAATTGGAATACCGTCACGCTCATATTGTGTCATGCTTTGAAAGTCTCAGAATAGTCAGCTCATCTAATATGATTTTAGTGCTGCTGTTCCCCAAGGTCATACTGTACTGGCTCTCCCACAGCATTCCTTGGAAAGACATTCTGAAGTAGCTAGATCCCAGCTTTTGAAACGCGGGGAACTTCTTTTCCAATTAGAAGATCTGAGAAAAACAAATTTCCCAGGCAGGTAGCCCGATTTCCCTGCCACCCTCACGCACCCGGTACTCTCTAGTCCTGCCCCCATGTGTGGGAAAACGAGCCGGTTTTACCTTTGAAAGTCAGGTAGCCCCAGGCTCTTCCATGGTCCATGTTCTGCAAAGAAAAGAGGAACCTGTTGAGAGTGGGTCGCGGCGGACCGGCGGGCGGGAGCTCCGCAGAGCGCAGGGGGGCGGCGGGCAGCACGGGGCAGGTACCTCGGCCATGTAGTCCGCCTTCACCTTGGTGATGACCCAGTAGCAGGGCTCGTCGTGCGCCCACAGCCAGGACTTGCGGGTTACGGTGCGGCCCACGCCGAAGCGCGGCAGGCGGCAGAGCAGCGCGAACAGCCGGTTCTCGTTCCGCACGTCCTCCCAGGCCCGCACGGGCAGGCGTTTCTGCGTCAGCGGTCGCCGCATGGTCTCGTAGTCCACGGAGAAGCGCTGAGAGTCTCGCGGCCGATCCTTCAGCGCCCGATACTCGCGGATCTTCTTGGCCATGGCGGCGATGGGCCGGTGCAGCTTCTTGCGGGCCATGGCGACGGCCGAGGGCGCGGAGCCGAGCAGAACCGAGAGCCGTACCCGGACCCACCGATCCCACCTCTTCCGGAAGCCGTGCCGCGTCCCGCGGAAGTCGCCCCGCCCGTCGTGAGCCACAGCCGCAGCGTTCCCGTGGCCCGGCCGCCCGCGGTGGGCCCTCTCCGGCTGTTGCACGCAGAGCGCGTGGCGTGCCGCGGCCTCTCGCTGTGGTGTGGACCTGCCGGTGCCAGCAGGCCCGGCGCGGCCTGACGGTTCTGTGTGCTGGGCGGCTCTCGGGGGAGCCGGGCTTGGTTGTTGACATGCATCTGAACAGCGTCTGGTTTAGAAAAATCTGAGCAGATTCAGCTATGTCAGGGAAAGTTCAAAGCCTGAGTAAACCAGATTTTAGGACGATTAAAGCAACAGGTTTGGCCCAGTCTTCAGTCAGAGGCTGGGCCGCGAGCAAGAAGCTGGGTCATGGAACTCCATACCGGGATAAGACAAAATTCTGACCTGCTCCAGCCATGGAATACTAGCACAGTTAGGCCACACTTTTAGTAAGTAGACTTATAAGTAGAAACTGCATAGATCAGTCCCTGGATTTTGGCTATAGACTGGTAAATTAAATCTGACAGAAGAGTTTAATTTTTTCTTTGAAATCCCTATGTTAAATTAAAGTAAGTTCAACAATTCCAGCGTTGCTGCGATGTCCTATATTGAAGGCATTCAGGACACTGAGTGGATTTTTCCAGCAGCCAAGATCAACGTGTGAGGAGAAAGGGGTGCGTTCATATGTGCTACACATAAAAAAAGTAAACCACACATTAAAAAGTCTGACAATGCTCTTAAAACTAATATGGTGCATCTCTTTAAAAAAGACAGGGGCATAGGAGTAAGCAGGAGGTACCTGACCGAGAAACACCCGTTTAGAATAAAATACTTGATCTTAATGCACACAAATTTGGGGAAATAGCAGAGCAGTTAAACCACTTATTACAGGGTACAGATTTGGGAGCTTGTACCCAGGAGTTGTGAAGCACAAGGATCAAGCTCGTGTCCATTTAAGACACCCATGCATCAGTTTCTGTGAGCCCACAGAGGAGAAGAGGTGACAAGAATGCTTGAAAAAAATGTGAAATTTGTTTTGTTAGATGGACAGAAATTAAAAGCATCACCATACACAGCAAGTCATCACGGAAAACGATGCAGCTCCACAATAGCTGACCACATACGGCGTCTCCCCCAGCCTGGGAGAACGAGCGCAAATCGTATTCCAAACCCGCCACTTCCTGGTACGGCCCCGCGGGGGATACATATGCAGTCCAAGGGCAGCGAGCAGCGGCACCAGCGGAGCCCGGTTACTGCTTCATAAGGGGAACTCTCAAAGAAACCGCTGTTAATTCAGGGGTGCTGCAGTGCCCTTCGCTGCCTCGGCACAAACATGGACCCGCCAGATGTGGGGGCGGCAGCCACCACCAGAGTGGCCCAGCAGAGTAACACCACCTCACGGGCTGCCACCGGAGTTCCCACCATGCGCTCGGCACACAGCGCTCCTTCCACCGCCACTTCCGACGCTCCACATGAGCTCCTGCGCGACAGCTCCCACGATCCCACGTCCGGCGGGTAGTCCCAGGAACATCCGACTAGAGAGGCCGGCGAGCCTCGCTCCTACCTCGGCCCCGCCCCGCACACCAATGGGAACCACGGCCGGCACAACGAGGAGGGAGAAGGGAGAGGCCGCTGACAGCCCTACCGCCCATGTGACGGACCGCCTGCCCACGTAACGGGCCCACCCAATGGGCGCGGCTGCCGCTTCCCTCCCGCTGCTCCCGGCAGCCCCTGCGCGGCGCGGCCGGTCTGTGTCGGTAAGATGGCGGCCGTGAGTCTGAGGCTCGGAGACCTGGTGTGGTGAGTGGCGGCGCGGGCTGCGTAGCGGCTGCGGAGCATGGCGGCCCGGGCGCCCTTAGGAGAATCAGGCTGCGGCTGCGGAGACGCAGGCGGGGCTGCACCCAGCCCTGGGAACGACGCAGCGGGAGCCGAGTCGGGCTGGGCCGCGCTGGGCGCTGTCAGCTCGCGGTCGACTCTGGGGAGCGGGTGCAGGCAGGGTGGGGCTTGGCAGGGCAGGGCAGTGATGGGGCAGCTGCCGGGTTGCGGGTATCGTCGCCGCCGTCCTTGGGGCGGTGTGGGAGGAGCGGCGGGAGGCAGCCCGGAGCTAGGGCACCGGGCCGGCGGGAGGTGGGCTGGGCTGTGAGCCGGGCCGGCACTGGAGGCTGGCGGGGGCGGTGCATGATGGAAGCTGTGTCAGATGGAGGGATGCGGGAAGCGGGACGGAAGGACGTACGCTGCGGGGTTCCTTGGTAAGCATGGGCTCAGCTCCCGAGGGATGGGAGAAAGGTTAGAGATAAAAGGTGTTTAGAGAGAGCCACGGCACCGTTTCATGACAATGCTTTAATGAAGCGACACAACAATCCAGCGTTTCGTTGCAAGTTGGGGTGTCCCTGTGGAAGCCCCAAGAAGCCATTTCCCCTTGTCACTGCACTCTTACCCTAAAATAGTCAGAGCTGTGATTTTGTGTTTCCTGGTTGGGAGAAGTAAGAGCATTCCACTGTGCCCTGTGAGCACCGATTAAGTGTATAGGTTCTACTATGCTGAATGGGCTAGGCTGTCCTGCCAGGGCTCAGAGAAGTAGCTAATTCCCAATATGTAAATGCATGCATTTATACTGATAACCCAGATAAAAAGAAGTATGTGCTTTAGGCTGTGACAGCTGCAGCTCTCATCTGAAAAATTTACAGTGCTGGGAAGTTGTCTAATTTATATAGCAAAATAAGCAAACATTAGTTACTTTTAACATATTTCTTTCAGATGAGATTTTGGGGAGTGTTCTGCTCTCAATGTTGGAATGCAGATTATCCCGCTTTAGTTTTGTACATGACAGCCAGGTACTGGCCCTAGAGCTGTCACAGGGAACTTTTAACAACCAGACAGCAATAGCAGAAAGGGTTTGCTGATTTTTTTTCTCAGTACAGGAATGGGAGCATTGAATATGAGACATGGTCATAGTCACAGCTCTTGACAGTGTTCCTGCCTGCCCCTGGCTTCTGAATCGTCTGGGCAGCATTGCCACTTGCTGAGAAGTTTTGTGTCAGGAGTTGTTTGGCCCCACAGGTTCTTTGCCTGTCTCTTGCAAGACAGTTACTAATGGGGTTTTGAGAGTACTGCAGCACAAGTCAGTGACAAGGGTGAAATAAGGATAAAGCTCACCAGGAAATCTGGTGAGCTGAGGGCTAAGACTTATGTCTCTTTCTCCTCTGTGATTATTTCTAATATTGCCTAGTTTTCATAATGGAAACATTTGCAAGTGTAGAAAGTAGACTTTTCTGCCTGTTTTTTAATGACTCTTCGTATCTTTAGTTAGTGTGGGGGTAAGCACCTGATGAAAGTGATAGTGTTGAACCTGTTGCGGGGATCCTGCCATTAGTGCTTTCCTGTGAGAATTAGAACCTCAGATTTCTGAGCTGGGAAATGGTGGCTGCTCTGCTCACCAGCTTCTCTAGACAGGCAGATGGACATTCTCAACCTGAATTGTGGTCTGATTGCCTGCATCAGTGCTTTTTTTCAGTTCCATATGATGAAATATCCACACTTACGGTGCTGCAGTGGCTATTTCTTTTGTATCTTGCAGGCAGTGTAGCTGCTACTCTTCAGTTCTGACTGTCCAGCAAGGTCAAACAGACTGTCCAGAGACCTGAGTTAGGTGCAGATGTCAGCCATGTGTCCTGCCTTGCGTAGAAGGTTTGGACTGCAAATTGTAATTAATGTGAAAAGTGACAAAATGTGAAAAAGCAGACACTGGGATAGTTGTTTTTTTCTCTGATTCTAGTGCCTAATACTTTATTTTTTCTCTAGGGGGAAGCTGGGCCGCTACCCTCCATGGCCAGGGAAGGTGAGGTTTGTTTGTATTTATTGTTGCTGTCTTAGTTTTCATGGCTTGTGGTTTTTTTTTGTTTGGGTGCACATTTTTTTGTGTTTTCCTTCTGTGTAGGGAAAGCTTTGCCTGAAAGCACATATACCCCACAAATATTAAGTGTGAACTAGTTTAGGGCTTTATTTGATCTATTATCTCAGTCTGTCAGTAACAGGTGGTAGTTCATATGGAATGAAAAGCAGAGACACAGCTCTGGAATTGCTAATGTTTCCCAAATTTAGTTGTTTAATCCCTGTCACTTTCTGCAAGACACATTTCTTTTCTTCCATAATAAGTTGGTTAACAGTACTGTGTTAAATAATAGACATAAGGAGTCTGGCTTCTCAATATACTGTTTTAAAGCTGTGGTTTTTCAGAATTATTTGGGGTAATTTGATCCTACTTCTGGTTTGGTTAGGGTTTTTTTGATTAAAGATTAAAAAAAAGAATTTTATATGCCATTTCTATTATTTCTACTTCTCTGAAAGACTTTTTGTCTTTTATGTCGTATGAGGGCTAAGCATGCTGAGGTAACAGCATGAGTCAGGGAAAAGAATTGTCAGTGTGGCTGACAACTATATATATTTGGTTTTTGGATCAAGTTAACACCAGGCTCATGTACAGGTGTCACCTGTATAACTGAATGTTAGCTTTTCTTCTTACTAATATTTTAAACTTGATAAGCAATCTATTCTGGGAGTAAAGACAAAATTTAAATTTTAAGGATTACCTAAGTGGAACAAATTTTTAGTAATGCCAGTTATCTTCCTAATCAGATTTTTAAAAAATCTATAAAGCTGAACACTGGCTGGTAAAATCACAAAATTTGTCACTATGTGCTTTTTAATTTTGATTTCTAATCACCTTTAGATTGTTAACCCACCTAAAGATCTGAAGAAACCTCGAGGAAAAAAGTGCTTCTTTGTGAAGTTTTTTGGAACAGAAGATCAGTATGTACCTGCTTGTTTTCATCTGGGGAAAATATTGTACCACATAGCGTGGATCTTTTGTGGAAGAAATATTTACTAATATTTTTTTGTGGAAGAAATATATACCAATATTACAGTGCAATGTAGCGTCATAAAGGATTCCCTTTGAACCACACAATAAAATAAATTCAACTATTACTACATGATGTAGCTGCTCAATGGGGTGTAGGAAGACTGTAAAAACTTAGCTTAGGATCTGAGTTGCTGCTGTGATGATAGCTCGCCACTTTTAGGTGTGACATTACTCTGTTAGATTTTAGCCTGTAACCATGAATGAGAAAGGTACAGCTCAGAGTATTTTATTTTGCTGCCAAAGGAGTACAATTGACTATATAATTGCCATTTGTGAAAGAATATACTGTCCTACTTGCTGATTGAAAATATTCTTGCTGTGCTTTTGGAAGACTTCACTATAAGAGAGCCAAAACTGTTTTAGATTGCCTTTTTGCAAGGCAGAATTTAATGATTTCAGATGTGAACAAAATCATAATTGTCTTAGATTTAAATGATTACAATCTAGGGGAAAAAAAAACCCCAAAAAACCCACTGAGAACTTTGGATATTTTATGAAACTGAAAATTATTTTAATAATTTTTCAGTTTTCCTCTGTTTTCTGCTATATCCTATTAAGTCATGGAATAAAGAAGGAAGTTGCAAATATCTGTGGAAGACTAAAAAAACATTTACTTTTTGTAAGAAAGGTGACAAGAACTGAGACCATTTGATTAATATGTCTTAAGGAAATTATTTTTGCTTAATACTTCAAAAATTTTTTCCATTAAGAAATGAGGTCTAAACTTGATGGAGTAGTAGTATATGCCGCATACTAATGGAAATGTTTGGATCTCTAGTAACTTGAGGCAGGTGAAGGTTGATTTGAGGGCAGAGAATGTTTTTTGGTGGTGTTATTAAATATGGTTATTTGTGCTAATAAATTCTGAGTTGAAGTGGATTATTTCTGTCCTGATAATTTCTTCTCAATTCTTGTATTTCACATTATTGAATCAAATACAGGTTTTTTTTGGTATTAAGACAAGCCGTCAAATGTCTTTGATACTGTAGCTGAGATTAATAACGTGATTACAAATTAACAGTTCAGAGCTGCAAAATAATCGGGATTATTTGCAAGATTCTAGAGCTCTGGCCGGGGCATATTCAGTCATCTGGCACAGTAAGATAGTGTGGTTGTTGTAGTGTAGCCCCTTACCCCAGTCTCCAGCTTGTGAAATTTAATGATATCATGCTAGATAATCATTAATTAAAAATTTCTTTGTTTTGATTGGCATACCCTACATGAAAACTGAATAGAAATAAATACTATCACCTTTCTTTCAAATAGTGTTGATAGAGAGAAGGTAGAGAAGCCTGTGTGCCTCTTCTGTCCTGACTTGGAACTTCAAAAGGCTGTGCTGGTTAGATCTGTGCTCTTCTAACCAGTGTGTTCCTTGAGCAAGTTCTCACATTTGAGCATAATCAGTGAGCCAGTCTCGAGTATAGTAACAGTATTAAGTATATAATCAGTGAGATATAAATCAGGAAAGATATAAATTATTTCACTTTAAATGTGAAGATGAAGAGAAAATCTCTTAACTTATTTTGTACAAGTAAAGTAGTGGGTTTTGTGAATACTTTTTTCAGGTCTGTGTATAAACAGGACTTGGAAGTATGAAACTGAGAGAATGTCACCACCTTATGAGCAGCCTGAGTAATAGCAGAGTGCAGAGGGGTGTTTGAGGGATGATGAGGAGCACACTTAT